AGGGCTTCAGCAATGTTAGGGCTTTGTTTAAGACAGCCATCTGGAGTTACTCTATCATTCACTAACAATTTAAAATCATCTACTCTAATTCTCCCTGCATTGCTCCAGCAAAAGACACTAACTCAGAGAAGCTTTATATGCAAGATTTTAGAACTAAGCCCCCCCCCCCAAAAAAAACCAAAAAAAATTTTTTTTTTTTTTTTGAATTCAGCTCACATAGCCTTCTTGTAGGCTGTAAGGAGGTTCAAGCTGTTCTAAAACAGTCATCACGATCCATTACACTTTGTTCCCTGCAGCTTTTGTTCCCAGTTGCATGTGATACTGTTGATTATGAAAGAAAATTAAAATATATGCTGACTTTACATATGGAAGGATTATAGTTCCACTTGTTCAAAGCATTTTTGACTATATTATACCTTCTAGAATATAGTATGAAAACCCAGGGCAAAGGTAACATTTCAAAAAAGAATATGTCAAATTAATATTCCTTTTTTGTTAGCAGAATTATCTTTTTTTTTTAATTTATTTATTTATTTATTTTTTATCACAACCATAGTGTATCTTTTTTTTTTTTTTTTTTTACATGTATTCCCCATCCCAGTCCCCCCTCCCACCTCCCTCTCCACCCAATCCCTCTGGGTCTTCCCAGTGCACCAGGCCCGAGCACTTGTCTCATGCACCCAACCTGGGCTGGTGAACTGTTTCACCCTAGATAATATACGTGTTTCAATGCTGTTCTCTTGAAACATCCCACCCGGAGCCCATTATACAGAGCGAAGTAAGCCAGAAAGATAAAGACCATTACAGTATACTAACACATATATATGGAATTTAGAAAGATGGTAACGATAACCCTATGTGCAAAACAGAAAAAGAGACTCCTATGTATAGAACAAAATTTTTGACATAGAAGTATTATATCTAGAATGGAAAAATTTCAAAAATATGAACTGCTTCAGGAATATTTTTTTCAGAATGAAAACAAAATCAAATCACTCTTTTGACAGTGAATTACTCTCATTACACTGAAAAGCAAATGAAAGGTAAAGCTAAAATTCTATTTATTTTAAAAGATGTCAAATCCAGGTTAAATTTGTTTTTAACTGTCAAATAAAATCAGCACCTCGGAAAAAAGAGCTATTAAACAGAACTTGGTGGGGCCTTAAAAAGTATAATAACAAACAGGCTTAAATATTAACAATATTCTTGTGCTTTCTTGCTATTTGGCTAAAACATCTCCCTCCACCTTTAAATCATCCTGAGTCTACCAATACTTTTGCTTTTTGGGGGTTAGATCCACTTTTCAGAAGTGGAGTACAGGTTATTAAACTGGATTCTGCCTTTAGTACTCATCCTCTGACACATTCCACTAAGTTAGAGATTTATTTATATTGATAAATACCCCTTTTAAAAATAAATATATCTTGGGGAAAAAAGGTTAATTCTATATTACCTTTCAACCTCAAGGAAGAGAAGGAGGGAGGGAAAAAGAACAGGAGAGAAGGGAGAGAGAAGAAGACCTAATCTGAGGAAAATAGACATTAGGACTACCAGAAGAGGACAGAAAAGGACAAGTGAACCACACCTTAAAGAGGCAGACCCGGAAACCAGCCAGAAAGCCTAAGACCTAAGTAAGTAAAATAGAAACAAAAAGCCTTCACTGGACACAGCAGAGATTATGTACAGTTAAGGTGATAAAAGCCATGTATGTTACACCAGCACTATAGACAAACAAGTACTAGATTAAACAATTTATAAGGTATATCAAAGTAATACTATGGGTGACAAGGTTATCAATAAGTCAGAATTGATAGATAGAATGCATTAAACAAACTTTACGCAAAGATTTTAAAAGCTCCATTCCAAACAGTTTACTTAAAGAAAGAGTCTCTTTAGTTTTAAGTGTTTTTGCTAAATTTCCAATGAGGGTCTCCCAAGAACCACATTCAAGTAGGTGAAATAATTATAAAAGCCACAATGTTTATTATTATTTTAAACATATGGCTCAAAATACACTCTGTGCTCTAAAGGTCAAAATAAGGTTTTATTTTTAGAATCTTCAAAGCTGTCATATCTATGTCTTTTTGCCATGTTTAAGCTAGCCAGATACTTCTTTTAATATGATAGAAATATAAGGCAGAAAAGAGATTCTTTAAAATAAAGCATTTCTTGCCAAACTGCTTTGCCTCAAACTAGCAAAACGTCTTTGACTAGACTACTGAACTATGCTTCAGTTTTATCCTTCACTTAATATTAAAGCTAACATATTCTGAATACATGTCAAATGCTACACACCAAGGTTACAAACTGAACAAAACAGAATCCCTACCTTTGAGGTAGTCAGAATCATTTGACAGAAAGAGACATATAAACAAGTATTTATAAGACTACCTGATTAAGTTTTATAATAGGAGATATGAACAGAGCATTGTGCAAATAAAGTAGTAAAAGCCACTAAATCAGCCTGGAGGACTATGCTAAGCCTCTTCAAGAGAATTTGACATTTAAATTCATCTGCAATGAGGCAGTTGGGTTAGTCAATCTTTAAGGACCCTTCTATTTAAAAAAGGGCAGGACAAAAAGTTGAAGGTCATAGAGATCTTGTTTGTCAAAAGGGCTGGTATACCCAGCTATTCTACTTCTTGGTATTTATCCAAAGGACTTCCCTCTAGCTCAAACGGTAAAGAACCTGCCTGCGATGCAGGAGACAAGGGTTCGATCCCTGGGTTGGGAAGTTCCTCTGGAGAAGGGAATGGCAATCCACTCCAGTATTCTTGCCTGAAGAATCCCATAGACAAGAGAACCTGGCAGGCCACAGTCCATGGGGTCACAAAGAGTCAAACACGACTGAGAGACTAATACATACACATCCAAAGGACAGGAAAACACTAATTTGAGAAGATATATGCACCCCTATGTTCACTGGAGCATTATCTACAACAGCAAAGATATGGACACAACCTAAGTGCCCACGGAGGGATGAATGGATGATACGGTATGTGTATGTGGGGGCTCTCAGACAGGAAAGAATCTGCCTGCGATGTGGGAGACCTGGGTTCGATCCCTGGGTTGGGAAGATCCCCTGGAGGAGAGCATAGAAATCCACTCCAGTATTATTGCCTGGAGAATCCCCATGGACAAAGGAGCCTGGCAGGCTACAGTCCACGGGGTCAAAAAGAGTCAGACACAACTAAGTGACTAAGCACAGCACAGCACAGTGTGTGTGCACATGATGGAAAACTATGCAATCATAAAAAAGACTGAAATCTGCCATCTGTGGCAACAGTAATGAACCTTGAAGGTATTATGCTAAGTGAAATAAGCCAGAGAAAGACAAATACCTATGATTTCACTCATGTGGAATCTAAAAAAAAACAAAACAAAATAAAACAAAAACAAACTTACAGATACAGAGAACAGATTAGTGGTTACCAGAGGGGAAGGAGGTTGTGGCACAGTGTGAAATGGATGAAGGGGGTCAACTGTATGGTGATCACTTTTTAGTGCATACCAGTTCAAAATACAGCGCTGTACAGCTGAAACTAACATTACTTAAAAAACAGCTGATGTAAATAATTCCAGTTTCTTGCTTATTAATTTAACTTCTGTATCCAAAAGAGAATATTTTACTTGTACAATCCTCATCATCTCTCTCAAACCTGTCCTCTTACTATATTCTTTTTCTTGGTAAATAGTTAATACCATCTAAAACTTAAGCTTCTATAGCCAACTAATCACCAATTTCTATTGATTGTATTCCATACTATTTCTATATTCTATTTCCAATCGCTACCACCATCTCTTACAGTGGAGGCTTCCTATGGCCTCCAAAAGTTTTCCTGTCTCTGAGATCTCTTCTGCCAATCAACCAATTCTTTACATGGTAGCCAAAGTGATTCTTCCAAAACACAAATCTGATCATCAGACAGTTCACCTTAAAATCATACAACTACTTCTACTGTCCCCAGATAAAGTCCAAACTCTTCAGTATAACTGTCAACATCTGGCCTGGCTTGCGTCATGCTACAGTCTTTTATACTCATATTGAACTTCTTGCATGTTTGCATGCTTCTAAGTCGCTTCAGTTGTGTCTAACTTTTTGCAGCCCTATAGATTGTAGCACACCAGGCTGCTCTGTCCAAGGACTTCTCCAGGCAAGAATACTGGAGTGTGTTGTCATGCCCTCCTCCAGGGGATCTCCCTGACCCAGGGCTCAAACCCACGTCTCTTACATCTCCTGCATTGATTGGCAGACAGGCTCTTTACCACTAGCATCACCTGGGAAGCAGCTTCCTCAATAAACAAAGCTCACTATCCTCTGAAAAGCATTCTAAGATTCTTTCGAGAGAGAATCAGGTGACCTTCAAAAATGTTCTTTCAGGATCCTCTGCTTCTCTACCACCATATTTACCTCACTATACAGTATTTTAACTACTTATCTGTCTCCCGAAGGAAGCTATAAATTCCTTAAGGTCAGAAATTGCCTTACACATTCTTGCCTTTCTTATGTAAAGCATTATACCTGCCTGGCACTGACATATAAATGGTACTAGATAAAGATTTGTTGAATGCATGAATAAATGAATGAATGAAAGAACGAACTGCAAAGAAAGAGAAGGGTCCTTTCACTTCTCTTTTTCACAAAAAGTCAGTGTCCTACAACTTGCCTTAACAGTTATTAGAAACATTACAGAAACCTAATCCTTTAGTAAGACCATATTTAAGCCATAAGCCTATCACAATTAACCTGTTTCCAAAGACAGAAATAAAGAAGGCTCAACATAAACCCAAAATTCAAATGAACTTTAAGTGTGTTTATGTCTTCCAGTTTAGACAGCATAAACTTACTACTTTTGGGAGAGAATACACATGTATCAGAATTATGGTATGTTACACATGTAAAAAAGTTGTAACTACATATGCAATATTATATTTTCACAGATCAAGTGTTGAGTTTGCTTTTTAACATATATGAAAACTACACCTCATCACTGACTCACCGATTCTTTTCCAGCTCATTGTGTGTAGACCTAAAAAGGAGGGAAAAAAGGGGGAAAAAGAGCATTAGCCATGTTGTGTTGCTAAGGCTATAAAAAGGGGGGTTAGTTTAGGTATTGCTATATAAATTCACTGAGTGAATTTAACAATGCAATATATGGACAGAGTTCTAGCTATCTCACTTGTCAAGAAGTAGTAATCTATGTTAATTAAGATTTCAGATAGAGCTTTTCAGTTAACAACTAAATATTTTGAAATTAGAATCTCACCGTTATTTTTAATAAAATTAATATGAGCACATGTTCTCTTGCCCATTTCTAGGGTCCTACATTTTACTGGTTTGTAGACATTCTATTAGAAAATTTAATTCAAACATAATCCCATTCTTTTGCTTTTTTAAAAAGCAGTGTATGTACTTCCGTGTCTTCTATCTCCATTTACCCACTCTTAAACAGGGATAGAAACAGTTTTGGCCAGCACAGAAGCTGAAACAGGCTTGCCTTATTGCTAAGCGATACAGACAAATTCAAGCCTCTGTGTGTGTGAAACATAAACCAAAAATGTCATACAAGGAAAAAACAACATCAACGGAAAAGATATATTACTAAAATAAAAAAACACAGTTTTAAAAGACTGGGAGGACATATCTCAAAATGCTTACAGTAGTTGTCTTTGTGAATTTTTTCATTTCACTTACAACTATTTGTTATAATAATATTACTTACCATCTACTGAACAACAAGTTGAGTGTCTGCTGAACAGTTAACATACATTATCTCATTTTATCCTCCAGACAATCCTTGTTTTATAAACAAGAATACTGAGACTCTGAGAGGTAAAGAGACATGATCTTGTTGTCCTAAGAGTTTTAAGTTGCAGCCATGATTTAAGCCCATGTCTTTCTTACTCCAAACCCCAACTTCTTTTTTTTATTAATTAATTTATTTATTTCAAACCCTAATTTCTTAACCACTGAGTGACAAGCAATACTGAAAAGGGATTAACAGCACGGACTCTAAGGCCAGACTGCCTTGGATCAAATATTGTGTGGCCTTTTAAAAATCTCTTCATTTCTCTGTGCTCAGCTTTATCATCTATGAAATAGGAAAATAACAGTATTTGCCTCATAAGATTGTTATGAGAAATATACACGTTTACACTGAACAACAAAATGTAACTTGATCTAAAGTTAACCACTATTAGAATTTATACTAAGTTCTCCTGAACAAACATTATTTTTATAACAACTTAGCATTAACAATAACAAAATTTTATAAAGAAAAATTTAAGTTCCTATCATCAAAACTGAAACTTCATTTAGTGTATTCTGATTAATGTCAAAAGCCTTCAGAATATTTCATTACTGATTACTATAGTCTGATTTATTATTCTAATGGATATTTAATAATCAAATTCCTAAACTTCAACAATATTTTTATCAGTCTCATAATTTGTGGAAATTTTATTCACTGTCTTAGTTCAAGAGCCAAAAGGCTTCTTTGAGTTACTGTCTACTGTCCACCTTTTGCTTTCTTAGCATTATCGTAAGGTCCAAGTGACACATGATGAAAAAGACTGATCTTCATTTTCAAGATTATCTTAATAAGAAAACACCTCTCTCAAAAGACAGAAATTTAAAAAAATCTCAGGATGCTTTAAGAGTTCAGCCAAATTAATGGCAAGGATAGGTACAATTCAGAAGAAGATAAAAAAACACAGACTTCTTAGTATAACACAAACTCAGACTTCAAAACTCAATTAATAAATTACATCCAAATCTCTACCACATAGAAGTATTTATAAAAAGGTTTAAGTTCTTTTTTGTTTGAATGAAATGTCAAACTAAGTAAGTTAGAAGAGGTAATAGGTATATTTTAAAGAGATTTAAAACAAAAAACATTGTTCAAAATTTGAAAGGGTCATCAGTAATAAAATTTCCCCAAAATAAGACATCCCCCCTTGGTGATTAAATTTTGGTTTAACTGCCTTTTACTGGGAAGAAAACTCAGAACAAGCAAAACAAAAACAATGAAATGCTAAAGTAATAAATGAAACAATCTATTTAGAGAGAAGCATTTACCATATACTTATTCCAAACAGTATGGCATCCCACATATGGCGTTAAATGCAAAAGATACATAACGCAAAGATAACCAATTGCTGAATTCCAGTATACTGAACCTATTATCAAAGCTAGCACCAAAAGAACGTTATATGAACCACTGCTGTGAACAAAATTAAAACAGCAGGTTTTTCCCACCTCCCTCGGATTTTTATTAATCTTCTTCCTAAAAAATATTAAATGATAGCTAAGAATATGAACTTTTTCACAAAACCAGAAAACACATGCCATGTCTAGTTATACCACTAGTAAAATTTAACAAGATTTCCAAATACCAAGAGGTAAAAATGATCACATATATACTAATCTTTATCATATTGCCATGTTCCTTCAATTTTTAAAAAATCCATCAATATTGTTTACTCCTATTTTGATGACATTTTTGCCTCTAATATCAGGTCAACAAATACTGCACATTTTCAATGTTCAAAACTATCTCAGGTTGCAAGGAATCAAAGTCTCTAGCTGGTAGATTAAGACATATACAGGAATAATTATGTAAAATAAATTAGGCAATATAAATATATGAAGAAAGGTACAAAGTATTCTGGGAGTTTAAAGGCGGCAATGTTTACTTATAAATGGGGCTCTCAGAAAATGGGGCTTTAGAAAAGGGAGCATTTGGTCTGGGGCTTACATGATGATTTACATCTGCTACTAACCAGAAACTAGACCTGGTAGGGAGAAGACATTTCAAGTGTGGAAAGGATATAGCACAAGCAAAACAAGCTGAGCTGTGAAGTCCAAAGCAAAACCACAGAATAAAAATGGAAAAGAAGTTCTGAGTTTAAATATTAGCCCTATCACTCACATGAGCTGTAGAACTTTGAACAAATTATTTAACTTTTCTAATTAACAGTTTTCTCATTTGTAAAACTGGAGTAACACCACATGCCTTGACTGGGTTACTCTGAAAATTAGAGAGTAATGTAAAAGCATCAGCATATAGTAACCATTCAGTAAATGCCAGTCACTGCAAATATTCTTATTATTTTTAACAAGACTGAAAATATACTACCTAAAACAATGTTAAACATATTACTTGGGGCAACAAATTGAGAGTTCTCAGTAACACTTGGAATTAGCCTGGATACAAACAACAATAATGATTAAAAAAGAAACTAAAGGAAAATATGTGTTTTGATCATTTAGTTGACTATGAGGACACTGGAAGACTGAAAGTATGACAGAGAGTCTAACTACACATACATGGAGAAAATAATGATCCAAATAGTGCTGGCAAACAGAGTAGATGAACACATCGCATCCCAGCACATGCAGAAGCAACCTTCCTGAGGTTGCTTCCCTGAGCCCATGTGTCCAACCAAGTCTTTCCAATAATATGCCATTAAAATACTGCATTATGATAAATTCCCTACAAAGCTGGAATGTTCTGAATAATCCATCTGGTTAGCACACCTTTCTTCTCCTAACAAAAATGCACCTCTGAGAGTAAACACTACGAACTGTCTTCCTTTCAGACACCCTTCCTCTGAATGCTTGACAACTTCCAAGGACAGGGATAAAGACATTTCCATCATTTATCATCAAATCACAGGTAATCTTTTCCACAAATAACATCCCTTTAAGAGACATGGTAACACATTTCCTATTTGAATGGGAGTCATTATCTCAACCAGATCTGTGATTTTTCATTGACTACAACACTGCTCTAATACATAAACTTTTAATTCTTTAGGATGCAGTTTGGTGGCAGTCAATGAAATGAAGCATAGAATTGAAATTGCACAAAATGGTACTGTTTGGCTCAAGACTAGTACCACCACAGAAGGAAAATAAAAGATTCCATTCCCAGAATTAATATTCTCTTCCAACAAAAGAAAAGACCCCTATCTTTGTTGGATTAATGAGCCAACCCCTAATTTGTTAACATTCTCATTTCACTTACTTTCCAATTCTGAAGTGCCTAAGGGATGGTGTCCTCCTCACAATGAAAAAAACACATTCTATGAAGCTAAATGAGTATTTTCTAACTGTATCCTAAAGCTTATACTTCAGCTCTGTTAGAGCAGAGGGTTCCGAAGTATATACCTGAAGGGGGTTGAAAAAAATTAGCTGAATAGTAAAACTTCTATTTCTGTTTATTATTCTTCTTAACTTATATACATAACCTTAATACTCTGGTATTTATAAATATTAGTACAGCAATACATGTATAAAATTATGAATACATACAAATATATTAGGTATATTGAATTTTTGCTGCTAGTGGTATATAAGTGGTCAATAAAGTTGAAGAACACTGTAATAGAAGAATGAAGAAGGCAATAGCAACCCACTCCAGTACTCTTGCCTGGGAAATCCCATGAAGGGAGGAGCCTGGTAGGCTGCAGTCCATGGGGTCGCAAAGAGTTGGACATGACTGAGCGTCTTCACTTTCACTTTTCACTTTCATGCATTGGAGAAGGAAATGGCAACACACTCCAGTATTCTTGCCTGGAGAACCCAGGGACAGTGGAGCCTGGTGGGCTGCCGTCTATGGGGTTGCACAGAGTAGGACATGACCGAAGCAACTTAGCAGCAGCAGCAGAATAGAAGAAAATCATGCTTACTGCCAATAAAGTAATTCTTTCAAAGAAGTAGTTTTATACATTTGTTTCTATCATATTTAAAAAAAAAGTTTTAAATATTCTTAAAAAACCATTAATGACAGTAAAACTTGAATACTGTAGATTTTTAGGGAAAATGCCTCATAAGAAATGTACTCCTCCTCTCATAACAATAACAAAAACAACCACAATAACTAAGACCATAAAAAGCAAGTGCCTAAAAAGGATGCATAGCAATAACAACAACTTTTTCTTAAAACTTACATATCAAAGTTGAATATAAGCATATCTTATGACTCAGCATTTCCCCTTGAAAGCATATACCAATCTAATACACACA